ACTTGAGCGTCGGAGGCTCTACGCCGGAAACCCCTCCGGCGTTGAGTTCTTGCATGCGTTCTTGTGGTTCGATAGCGATTTGGGGACCATCAGGGCAGATCTGAGCTCGTTCTCATCGGTTCATTCCAGATCCCGACGATTTTCCATCGGTTCACCCCAGATCCGGAAATAGACCCATCAGTATCCATTTTAAAAAATATTTTATGATAACTACCACAATAAAAACCTGATTTTTCGTATTAACTACGAATCACTATAATTGCTTATTCTTTTGGTAAGCAACTATACAACATGTCTTAAAGAAAAACGTATTAAATAGATCCTGAGAAAATATTATTTGAATATGAACGTTCAAATTGCAAATATAATTACAAAATAAATGTTAAAAATTAGTTATAAAAAATTTATTATGATATTTAACACAACGTTACAATAGAATCTTCTTTATCAACAATAATAACAAATTACGGTGTGATATAGCCATACTGTCGAGTAACGGTTCATATCATCACGGTTCGAAACTGCCAAGTCGATTTCAACACAGTCGACTCCGCCAGTAGGGTTCCACGGTACTCAATCAAGAAGCCTGGTTCCCGACCGAGTCGACGTACACCTGTCGACTAGAACAAGTCGACCTCTGGCAAGACAGCGATCAGACGTATCATGGTCCACTAACGGTGGGGTGCGATCCAGTCGACTCGACTCAATACCTCAAGTCGGCTGAAGGAGTCTTGCAGTTCGTGGTTCCCGATAGCTTTGACACACCTCAGCATATTGAAGAAGAGTTAAGGATAAGAAGGAAGCTAAGGAAGGATCTAGATGCTGACTAGGAAGTGGGCAGAATGCAAACCGACCGGGGTATTCTGGACATTTCCATTGAGTCAGCTGGGGCACTTTGGGGACTTCAGGTAAATATTGCACTTCAATATAAAGGACTGAGGTAATCCCAAAACCCTAACTCCCATTCATTCCATATTCTCATTACTGTTGCTGCTCTCATAGCAGCTCCCCTGATCTCTCTCATATACTGACTTGAGCGTCGGAGGCTCTAC